AAAAAAAAAAGCTCTGTTGTATATAATACACCCCTGTTGTTCATCATCTGCCAGTTGATGGACATTTGAGGTTGTTTCTACTTAATGGCTATCATAAATAATGCTAAAGTGAACATCCCTGTAGTTGTTCATTCACAGGGTAAACAGTTCTGTTAATTTTCGCTTCATCCATTTTGGGGCTCTATTTTCTCTTTCTATAACCATGTTTTCTTAGTTTATTGACTTTTTAAAAAATCACTCTTTCTCTTTTGTCTAGTGATGGAACTGCCCCAACGCTATTTTGGTTACACTTCGCATAGAATAACTTTTTCCATCCTTTTACTGTCAACTTCTTTGTGTCTTTATATCTAAAGTGAGGCTTTTTAAAAATCCAGTCTTTGACATTGATGGCAGCTCTCCTGCCTACTTGTGGTTATGCAGTTAACCTCCCTTTTTTCTAATAAACCTGCTCTTTTAAAATGTCAAAAAGCCCAGGCTACCACTTTATTTAATAGGAGAATTTAATCAGTTTATGTTTCATGTGATTACTGATAAGGGTGTTGCTCTCTTTTGTGTGTGTTAGGTGTTATGACCCTTTAATTCCTGTATTAATGCATTTTTTTCATACATCTGGAATGTATTTTTTGGAATTGATTTTGCTTGTTTAGTGCCATTTTGGTTCATTTTTTTGCTTCATATTTTAACCCTCCTAGTGGTTATCGTAGGGATTACTTTTAACACATTAACTCTAGCAATCCGCTTTGAATAATGAAAGTTTGGCTGCAGTAGTCTACAAACACTGTCATCTCTTTTTCATATGGCCCTATGACATCTCACATTTGTATGGGGCTTATGGGTCATGGGCACAATATCCTCTAGGGCTAGCTCAGATAGCTTATCCTATTTCCTTATGCCTTCCATCTACAGGCAGTTTACACTGTTTGACAGTTAACCACTTTTGGGGGGACCCACTGGTTCCCAGTTGGTATCTCTCCTCAGCACTAATTTGATTATCTGACCTGGAGGTAGACTTCAGTAGAGTTTTATGGCATGTGAACTTATCAATGCTTTAGTATGTATTCTGTTATTACAAAGGTCAAAACCTTGTATGGGAGGTGTTTAACATCTTAAAGCCTGAGACCTCTGCTAGAGCAGACAGAATGTTAGGGATAGTAGGGTTTACTAGAGCAGGTTTGAAGTGTTCAGATTTTAAGGCTGTACACAGCCAGGCAGTATAGTTTGGGATTGTTGATCTGTCTTTCCAGGGGTCAGCAATGAAGTCAGATCACATTGCTTACAGATTACTTTTTTTTAAAAAAGATTTATTTATTTATGCATACAGAGCTGGGGTACAGGCCAGAGGTGCAGGGGCACCAAGAGCCTTCACCAGAGACTGAGTGGGGAGCAGAACAGGCAGATCGAGGAAGTACACTGTTGAGGGGAGCAGCAGGCGGGTCAGGAGAGGTCTGCCATGCCATGTGGTCTCCTCCGGGGCAGGTGGGAATCGAACTCATGCGGAAGTGGCTTTAGCTTCTCAGTGTAGTGCTTTAACCCGCTGTGCCACCAGAGAGGGCCAACTTACAGATTACTTTTATCAGACCCTGGATAGCTGATTGGGATAGACTTGGGTCTTTGTCTTGGGCCTTTTCCACAGCCCATTCCCATTCTTAGAATTGGTAGGTTTTCCCCCCAGTCAGCAGTGAATTGCCCAGCATCATAAGTATTTTGTCTTGTGATTGGGCTCAGAATGGATATCAATGACCTATAGCATGCAAAGAGAATAAGACTGGAAGATCTTGGCTTTCATTCCTATAGTGAATGATGCCCAGTCAGCTCCTGATAGCTTCTCTCATTCCCAACTCCCTAAAAAATTGATATTCCTCCTCTGTGTATATCTAGGCTCCCATGTACCCAGGGATTTCCCTCCTCTCTGGACCAAACCTTCCTATAACTAGAATAATTCAGTATGTAAGGGATTGAGCCCCCTCCCATCCAAGTGACTTGTGGGCTCTACCAGAGGGCAGTGTATGGTGAGAAGAAATGCATTCACTCCTCATATCCTAGCTTCCCTGACTATATACCTCGATATACCTGGCTATTTGTTGGAATTTGATAGTTATAATAAAAGCTCAGCAGGATTATTGTTGTCCTTTGAATTACAGGTTGAACTGACCAGGGCATTTCATTCACTTCATCATCAATCACCACGACCTGCTTATCTTTGTTCTACTCACTTTTCCAGGAATTCTACTTTTTTTTCCTTTTCTTAAGATTTGTTGCATACAGACCTGGGGTGCAGGCCAGAGGTACAGGGGTGGTGAGAGGATTCACCAGAGATAGAGTGGGGAGCAGAGCAGGCAGATCTACAAAGTATACTGCTAAGGGGAGCAACAGGCGAGAAAGGAGATGTCCTCCTCGCCATGTCGGTCACCTCTCTGGCCTGGGATTGAACTCATGGTGAAGTGGCAGTAACTAGCTTTGCACCCATTGTGCCACCAGGGAGGGCTGGATTCCAGTCAGCCTTTGTCACAAGCACCTGCAATTTAATATATAACAGTGTGAATTCTCCTGGCTTTGTTATAGGCACATATAGCTCTCCATTTCTTATCTTTAGAATTGTTTATATTATCTTGTCTGCTACTGGTAAAGCTAGTAGAGTAGTGGATATCCATACACCTCTAACTTTAGCTCTTTTTCTATCTTTCTATTTTTGAACTTCAGATTCTTACTGGGCATGAGTGATAAACTGAACTGCCCACAGTAGAGGCAGCATCCTGTGATAACCATTTGTTTCCATTCTTTGCCACAGTGTACCATGCAGTTTCTTAAACAATGGCATTAGGCCAGCTGGTGTTTTGGGGGAGGCACACTACTCACAATGGCTACAACATATGGGCCATACTTAACACAAAGAGATCAGTTGCCAATCCAAGATTTCCCTTGCCTCTTTCCCAAGAACCAATTTCTTTGATTTCCTCACTGACTCACCAATGGTTGAGGCTTGAAACCTTGAAAGCTTCTTCGGGTAAAGTCTGAAACTGATCAGTTTAGACGGGGCAAGGAGAGACAGAAGAAAAGTGCAGGCACTCCGAATTAGTAGAAGAGAGGCTTACTAAGTAAGGGAACTTGCATAACAAGATTTCTCATAGTGGCTGGAGGATGAGTACATCTCTGCCTTCTACCAGAATCTTCAATGTTTACGTAGAGGTCTCAACTGAACTTAGTCACGTAGACTGTCCAGATGATTTAACATACTGTTCTTTCATTGTTGTGTGCTTGAAACTGGCTCCCACTGTTGGACTGGTGAACAGAATATACATTCCAGGGATGGGAAGGAGTGAGGAATCTCCATTTGCCTGGTTCCAATTTTGAGGTCAACCATAGTTGCATCCTCTTATTACCGCTAAAACCTTCTGTGTTGGCTTTGGTGATTAATAGATGTGACTGGTAATCAAAAAACACAATCCTGATTTTGGAGGACAGGTCCTCATTGACCAACCTGACCCCAGGTAGTGCCATCAGGAATATTAGCACCAGTAACAATGGTTCCCAGAGGATTGTCAGGTGAAGGATGGAGCAAGTTTGCTAAATATGGAAGTTGAATAAAATTTACCTGCCTCATCATGAAACACTCCCCTAGAGATCTCAGGACTCCAGGATTCTAAAATAACTGACTTAAAAAGTTCCTGCTAGCTCAATAGTTATTTTAGTGGAGGTATGGATTTTTAGACTTACTGTTACATCATCTTCTGTGCTGCCATTCAGCTTATTTTAAGCACACATATTTTAAATGTACCTTTCCAATACAACTATTTTGAAACTAATTTTTGACTTTTAATAGTTTTCTAAGTTTTGCAAAATGTATCTTAAATGATTGCACTATACTTCAAATTATAACTTTTAATTCTAGTAAAATAAACTTTCCTCCAGTGTAATTCCACTTACTGTTACTGTTAACATGTCTTAGATGTATAAGCCCAAAAATAGTGTTATAATTGCTGCTTTATACAAGCTTGCTTTTAAAGTAGTAGGAAAAGAGGGAGCTATATTTATGCATATTGTATGCTTAATTACATATTTACCATTTTTAGTATTCTATGGGTTTGAATTACTGCCTGGTGGTATTTTCTTTCATTCTAAAGACATCCTGAGCTTGCGTGGGCAGCAATAGCCAGAGTTAAAGATGTCATAGGTTCCTCCTGTTTTATCTCAACTTAGCAGTATCTTATTAATAAGTACATCTTAGTTTATTCATATTTGGTCTTGTTTTGGAACCCTGAAACTCTGTTTTTGACAATTTTGTGCAGTCTTATACTTGTTTTCTTGGGTCAGCAATTAACAAACTCTTTACTGTAGCCGGAAGTCCACTTAATATTATTTGCAAAATATGGAAAATTTTTTTGTTCTGGTAAAACATACATAAAATTGGCCAAAGTAATTATTCATAAAATATGGTTTGGTGATATGAAGTAACACTCATGATGCTCTGTAACAATCAGCACTATTCATGTGCCTTTTCACTTTGCTAAGCTGAAATGTTATACCTTTCAAATAATTGTACTCCCATAAACCCCTCATCCTAGCTCCTGGGAACCACTGACTTGATTTTTACTAAGTACCTCATACTGATGTGGAACCATACAGTATTTCTTTTTTGTGATTCATTTATTTCACTTAAATGGAATCTCAAGTTTTCTCTGTATTGCTGCATGTGATAGAATTTCCTCCCTTTTTAAGGGTGAAGAATATTTCATTTTACCTATATACAAGATTTTTATTATGATGTCCATTGATAGCCGTTTGGTTTGCTTCTGTATTTTGGCTATTGTGAGTAATGCTGCTGTGAGCATCAGTGTCCAGATATCTCTTGGAGACCCTGCTTTGCATTCTTTCGAGTATATACCCAAAAGCAGTGGAACTACTGGATCATACAGTAATTCTCTTCATACTTTTGAGGAAGTTCCATGCTATTTCAGTGACTGTAGCATTTTACATCTCACCAACAGTGAACAAGGGTTTTTTTTATGTCCTTACCTTGTTTTCTGTTTTTAAATTGTAGCTATCCTGATGTGTCTGATGTGGTATCTCATTATAGCTTTGCTTTGCATTTCTCTCTGGGTTGGTGATGTTTGTCTAGAGGAGACTTGTAATAATGAAGGGAAGTGTAATAACAAAGGATACCTTCTTCGAGACTTCTATGATCAGCACAGAGCCCTCTGTTTGCAGGGTAGTGTCCTATCTTCCTTCCCTGACCTTGAAACCTCCATGCAAGGTAATCCAGGAACAGATGCATACTAGCTTTCCTTGCAGCTGGGGGTGGGCAGTGGGTATCCGCTACTATGCAAAAAGCTGAAATTGGTAAAAATTAACCACAATTTGCCTTCCGAAGCCGTAAACCTTCAGTAGACCCAGAGTTCCAAGAGTTCTATTAGACAGATTTTGCCGGTGCAGTTGTTGGCTCACTGGGGAGACAGATTCCTGGTGCTTGTCACGCCACTGTCTTCCCAGAATCCTCTTTACATAACTTTTTGTACTGCCCTGAGTTAAGGTGTAATAGAAATTAGACTCAAAGCCAGGGAAAGGCTTAAAAGTAGACCTGTTTCTCTTAAGCTGATGGAAATGAGGGGAAGGAAATAATCTGGGGCTAGGTCAAGGAGACATTGGCTCTTACCTCACATGAGTCCTCTAGGTCTAAATCTTGTTTATCCTAGGAGGTGGCTTGAGGCTTGACCCTTTATTGTCACTGTGGAGGTTTTCTGGTTCTACTTTCCTCTTCCCTATATATTCTCTAGTGTGGGAAAACATTGATGACTTAGTAAAATAGCACCTGCCTCTTAGCCTTTCCTTGTAGTTACTAGAGCTGCCTGTAACTCTGTGGAGTCTGTGAAGGGGTTCTTTCTAGGGGTCAGGGCTCCAGCATATCTGCCTGAACTTTTCATTATTTTAGCCAGCTTTGTGCAGACAGGGTTGCTCTGCCTGTGGTACATTAAAGTTGGGATAAACTGATGGGATTATCTGAGCTCATGTCTTGGTGGAGATTTTGGGGAACCACCACCAAGGAGGGGAGAAGAGTGAGGGATCAACTTTTAGGGTAGAAATTGTGCACATAATTTTTTTCTTTTAAAGATTTATTTATTTGTGCATACAGAACTGGGGTACAGACCAGAGGTGCAGGGGTGGTAAGAGGATTCACCAGAGACAAGAGTGGGAAACAGAACAGGTAGATCGGCCAAGTATACTGCTGAGGGGAGCGGTGGGCAGGTCAGGAGAGGTCTGCCACGCCATGTCGTCACCTCTGGGGCAGGCGGGGATTGAACTCTTACAGAAGTGGCTTTAGCTTCTAAGTGCTGCGCTTTAACCCGCTGCACCACAAGGGAGGGCCCTACATATATAATTTTGAAAGAAACTACTGATTAGGTCTCTTGCCTCCAGGATAGAATTTCTGTGAATAAATGCCAAATTCATTTCATTGTTGCATTTGTCTTTCTGCAGAAAATGCCTGGAACACCTGTGTAACCAGATACCTTTTTCTTTGTGTTTTGGCAGAGGAATGTCACAGCATCAGGAGTCATCCCTCAGATTTCTCTGATCATGGGCCCATGTGCTGGTGGGGCTGTCTACTCTCCAGCCCTAACAGACTTCACATTCATGGTAAAGGTAAGAAAGAAGGATCTGTTCTTCCTGCTCTTTAAAGTTGTACTGTATCTTACCTGCAATAAAAATAATTTCTGATGCAGATCTGGGTTCTCATTGGCTTTTTATCTGGGTTCTCATTGGCTTTTTGCATACTAATGATTAAGTCTTAGGGAAAGAAGCCTTTGGCATAAAATTTCTAGCTTTTAAAAAATTATTTACTTTTGCATACTGAACTGGAGTACAAGTCAGTGGTGCAGGGGCGGTGAGAGGCTTTACCAGAGACATAGTGGGGAGCAGAACAGGCTGACTGACAAGTACACTGCTGAGGGGAACAGCGGGTGGGTCAGGAGAGGTTTGCCGTGCCTTGTGGATCACCTCTGGGGCAGGGATCAAACTCGCGCTGCTGCTTACTTGCAGTGCTGCTTTCTAACCCATTGCGCCACCAGGAAGGGCCCAAATTTCTAGCTTTTTAGGGTGATTCAGAGGAGAATATGCTTGTGTGCTTAGTTGGTGAGTGTTTTTCCTTGTAGATTTGAACTGCACATGATTTTCATGTTATCAAAGGATCCTAACCTCTGCCCAGACAGATGATTGTTTACTTGATCCTAGTTAAAAAAAATTCTCATGGAAGACTTTTCTGTAATTAGTTTTTTTATTTTTTTGGAAAGTTCTTTCCTTTTTAAAATTGATCTAACTTTGGCTTATAACTTATCTAGGCTTTTGCTATATAACCTAAAAAATCAGCACCTGTCATGATTAATAACAAAAGTCTAGTTTTCATTCCTCACCATACAGTGATCCTTTCACCTAATGACCCCCTCCTGCCTCCTCCTTCCCTCTTGTAACCACTATTTTGTTCCATTTATTTAATTTTGTTTTTGTTTCCCTTGGCCTTTGGAGACATATCTACAAAGACGACATTAAAGCCAATGTTGAAAAGCTGATCTGAAGTATATTCCATGTATTTTATAGCTTCAGGTCTGCAGGGTAGTGGTCTAGTTTCCTTCTTTTCTATAAGCTGTCAGGTTTCTCAGCACAATTTATTGAAGAGACTTTCCTTACTCCATTTATATTCTTGACCTCTTGTTATGATTTATTGTCAAAATATGTCTAGGTGTATTCCTGGACTGTTAGTTCTCTACCAATGATCTGCATGTGTTTTTGTTCCAGTACTATATTGTTTTTGTTACCATTGCTTTGTAGCATAGTTTGAAGTCAAGGAGTGTGATTCCTCCATTTTTCTACATCTACTGAAATGATCATATGATAGTCGTCTTTCATTGATGTGGTGAATTACATTAATTGATTTGTGAATGTTGAACAATTGTTTCACCCCTGGAACAAATCCCACTTGCTGATCTCTGATCTTTTTAATGTATTATTAAATTCATTTTGCCTAAAGTGATCTTGAGGATTTTGCATCTATCTTCATTAGCTATATTGGTCTAAACTATTATTTATTTATGTTCTTCTTTGGTTTCAGAATCAGGGTAATGTTGATCTCATGAGTTAGTAAGCTTTCTCTCTTCAATTGTTTGGAAGAGTTTGTGAATGATACTAGATATTCCTTGAAAGTTTGTTAAAACACACCAGTGAAGGTATCTGATCCTTGCTTCTGTTTTTGGAAGGATTTTGATTGCTGCTTAAATTTCCTAACTAGAATTAATCTTGTTGATTTTGTTTCTTCCTAATTCAGTTTTGAGAGGTCAATGATTCTAAGAATTTATCCATTTCTTCTCTCTTCTCCAATTTGATGGCATATAGATGTTCATAAAGGTCTTGTATGATTCCTTTTTTTTCTTAAGTATTTGTTGCAATTTTCCCTTTTTTTTCTTAGTGAGTCTAACTCCGGGTTTGTTAATTTTATCTTTTCTGAGAAACAGGTCTTGATTTTGTTGATCTTTTGTATTTTTTGAATCTATTTCATTTATTTCAATTTTATAAATTAGATTTTTTTTCTATTTCTAGTAAGAATGATATTTGAAGTTTGATATGAATTGTATTGAATTTATAGGTTGCTTTATATTGTGTGGAGATCTTAACAATATTAATTTTTTGATCCACTACCATGAGAAAGCTGTTTATTTGGTCCTTCAGTGTCTTTGATCAAAATTTTAGTTTTCAGTGTACAGATTTTTTACTTCACTGATTAAATTTATTCTTAACTATTTTACTGTGTTTGTTATTGTGAGTAGATGGTTTTATTTTTTTCAGATATTTTGTTCTTAGTATTTCTATATTTTCTTAGTGTTTATATTCTGTGTGCTCTCTTATAATTTTATTTTATTTTAAAAAATGATTTCTTTATTATGCATACAAGAACTGGGCTATAGGCCAGAGGTATGTGGGATGGAGGGGGTAGTGGTGAGAGGATTCACCAGACACAAACTGGGGAGTAGACTGACTGAAATACACTGCTGAGGGGAGTAGTGGGTGAGACAGGAAAGGCCTGCTGTGCCATGTGGGTCAGCTTCCTGACCCGGAATCAAACTTGTGCTGCAGTAGCCGCTGATAGTTTCATATTGCTGAAACTTAATCTCCTGTGTCACCAGGAAAGCCCCCAGTTCTGTGTTTTCATCTTAAGCAATTCCATGCTCATGCAGAACTTGAATAAAGTTTCCACTTTAGTGTCTTCTTTTTTTTTCCTTGGCTGCTGCAATTTATCAAGCTTTCACCTATATCTCGTCTTCCTTGTATTTAATGAATGCAGTAAAAATGCTAATAGACTCCTGTTTTAAAGGACTAGACAGGGTAACTATAAAACTCATATGATATGGTAAATACTATGTAAAAATAAACATTTCTTGAAGGAAGTTTAATAAAGGACTAACCCTGCCAGCTGATAATATTAATAATTGCAGCTTTATATTTTAATAGACTTGTAAAGAAATAAATGTGGGGAAACAGAATTGAGAAATAGATCTAAGTAACTTTTCATATTTAGTTTATTATGAAAAGGATATTGTTTTATTCAGAGCCAATTAATGTCCTTTCTCATACCGAAGACACCAGCAATTCCATCACTAAAGTCACTTGACATTTCTCAGTTCTTATATGACCATTTGCTAGTATTTGACCTTCTTCCTCTTTGAAGTATCAGTGCTTCATCCTCTCCTGAATCTTATCACATGTTTTTTTCTGTATCCACTGAAATGATCATGCAATTGTCTCCCCAATCCTTGGCTCTTTCTTGAATGTGGTGTGTTACAATGATATTTATGTGTCGAACGACTCTTGCATTTCAGGAAATAATTCCATTTGGGTTTGGTGTATGATTCTTTAAAATGTTGAACTATGTCTGCTAATATTTTGTGAGTATTTTTGTGCCAGTATTCATGTGTGATATTGACCTGTAGTTTCCTTGTAGCATCTTGACTTTGATATTAAAATAACATTTAATTCACATATTCTTGGATTTTTCATTTTCTCTTATTACTTCTAGCTTTATTACACTGTGAATGCATGTCAGTTTGTATGATTTTGGTCTTTTTAAATTAATTTATTTAAAAGATTTATTTGTGCCTACAAGAACTGGGGTATATAGGTCAGAGGTATGGGGCAGGGCAGGGAGGCAGTGAGAGGATTCATCAGAGACAGAATGGGGAGCAGAACAGGCAGATGGATGAAGTACACTGCTGAGGAGAGCAGCAGGTGAGAGAGGAGAGGACTGCTGTGCCATGTGGGTCAGCTCCCAGGCTGGGGATTTAGTTCAGGCCACAGCGGCTGATGCTAATTTGATAGCACTGAGACTTTAACCCCTGCACCCCTGGGAAGGCCCTTTTTTAAATTTATTAAGGCACATTTTACAAATTCTCTCTAAACAATACTTTGATCTACTCCTCCATCCAGATGCAGTTTGGCTAGTTGTCTCAGTAGTGTCCTTTATCACATTTCCTTTCCCCAGCATAGTTTATTTGGGGATTAGATAATGCATTTACTTGTCTTATCACACTTATCCCCTCTACTCTGGAACAGTCCCTCAGACTTATTGACATTTTTCAAATACATAAAACAGTTATTTTATAGATTCTCAGTCTGACTTATCTGATAGTCCCTCAGGATTAGATTCAGAGAGGTATCCCATTTTATCAACAACATATGTGATGTTGTATCATCTTTTGGTGATCACATCTGGACACAGGAGGTGTTCATCTGCCCTTCATTGGTGATACTAATTTGATATCTATTCAAAGTGTTGTCTGATTTGTCCTCTACGTGATAATGATTTTTCCTTTCAGGGGAGATGCTTTTAGACCATTAATACTGCTCCATTAACACATTTTTCTCCTTGGTGTAGTACCTATTGATGTTTCTTGTTTGACCAATCTTTATAACATTGCTGTTACCAACTTTCCAGGAATAGCCTGCTTTTCTTGGGCATTTGTTTACTTCACTGACTTAGTAGTATGATTTCATGGAATTCCTGTTTTATTCCCTAACTTATATTCATTACTATCATTTTTATGCTCAAATTGTCCTTAATTTAGCCAGTGGGAATCCCTTTAAACTGGCTTCTGTGCCCTTTTAATATAAGGTCCAATGTCAAACGTATACTTCATGGGTAGTGTATTTTGGTTTCTGAGAGCTTTTTCCTTCCCTTAACTCATGAGGATGGTTTCTAGTTTTTAGTAGCTTTATTCTTTTTTACATTAATGTTTATAATCCAGTTGGAATTGATTTTTATATATAATATGAAATAGAAATTAGCTTCATTTTTCAAAATATAAATGACTAGCTGACCTAGAGTCTTTTGTTGAAATGAGCATCCTTTCCTGCTCTAGATACCACATACGGCATGATCTACTGTCCATATTAAGAGTTTTCCACTGAGCTCTATTGCTTTGCCTTTCTTTCTTTTTAAATGAAAACATTTTTACTTTTACATAAGAGAACTGGGGTACAGGCCAGAGGTGCAAAGGGTGAGAGAATTCACCAGAGAGAGAGTGGGGAACAGAACAAGTGTATCTACTGAATTATACTGCTGAGGGGAGAGTCAGGGGAGATAGGAGAGGTCTGCTGCACCATGTGGTCACCTCCCTGGTCAGGGCTTGAACTCATGCTCCCATGGCTTCCTTTAGCTTCATTGTGCTGAGATTTAACTCCTTTTACCACCAGGGAGGCCTCCTATTGTTTTGCTTTTCTCTGTGCCAATCCCACACTATATCAATTAAAATGACTTTATGACAAATGCTGATATCTGTAGTCTTCATGTGGTATGGGATGTTCTCCTTGTCCATTTATATTTCCACATTTTTAGAGCTATCATTGAGAGTTTATTGAAGTGATAACCAGTGTATACATAAGTTGTGCAATTTGAGCTTTGATGCATGTGTACTAAAGTCATGACCACTACGTGATAATGAAGTTAGCCATCACCCCCAAAATCTTCCTCAAGTGTCTTTGTCACCTGGCCTTCCCTTGCCTCCCTGCCTTGTCTTTAGGTAGCCGTTCATCTGCTTTCTGTCATAGCAGTTTAACCAGCATTTTCTAGGATGTGCACTTACACAAAATACATACAAAAATATATACTCTTTTGGGGTTGGGAACTTGCTTCTTTGTCAGATAATTATTTTAAGATTCACCTGTTCATGAACATTGACAGTTTTGGACTAACAGCGAAATAATGCTATTGTGAGCATTAATTCAAGACTTTATATGGAATATGAAAAAAATCTTTCTAGATAAATTTTTCTGGCAATTTTCCAAGCCATGGCATCGTAAAATAAAGAGTAACACAAAACATACACTGGTCTATGGACCACTGTATATAAAAGCAACTATCCAATAGAAAAAAATGTAAGCAGTAAGCTCACAGAGATGACTGTGCTGAGGTATTTATAGCAGAATTGCTTGATATTGGAAATTACTGGGAACCTAAGTGAGCATTGATAGGTGATAGTTATTCTACTGTGAAGTGCTCTGTAAGAAGTTTTGGAACAGTGAGTACATAGGATACTAGAAAAAAATATTCTTATATATGCATGGGCATCTCTATAAAGAGAAAAGATGATAGTGATTGCCTTTGGAGATGGAAATTGGAGACCTGGAAATAGGACTGAGATGTAGACTGACTTTCCACGGTCTATTGAAGTGTTTTACAATATGCCTTTATTTAGTAAATCAGAAACTAAGAACTAAAAGCCCATCATTCTTTCAAAAAGCCTAAGCTTTGATTATTATTATTTTTAGGTGACTTTTCTTTATAAAGTGATGGGTGAATTTTAAGTCAGTTGCATCCATCACTGTGCTTCAGTTTCCTTCATTATTTTGGGGAACAGTGATAATTGTAGGCTTTCTTGACTCATTCTTTAAACAGAATTATTTATGCATAGCAAGCTCTGAATAAGGTCCAGCTGTTACTGTGCTGTTCAGGTGAGTGATCCTGAAATGTTAGTAACACTGTAATAATTTTTGCTAAGGTAGGCACCATGCCATTGAAGATTTTTTTTAACAGTGAAGCAGGGAAAATCTTGCATCTTTAGTTTGATGGGCGTCTTTGAACTGCTTCCTAACCTGCTTCTATTCCATGTTGCCTGCCTTTGTCTTCTTGTGAAAGCTAAGGTTCCATTGAGCTCTAGTGATCTGAGATTGACTCTTCTGAAATTCTCTGATTTCAGGACACCTCCTACTTGTTCATCACTGGTCCTGATGTTGTGAAGTCTGTCACCAATGAGAATGTTACCCAGGAGGAACTCGGTGGTGCCAGAACCCACACCACCATGTCAGGTTAGAGGCCTCCAGGCTCACCTTGCTATGTTCCAACTCTGGGAATAGGGCACTGGCAAAAGGAGTGGTGAAAGTAATTTTAAAATATAAATTAACAGGATTTGAAATGACAGGTTTGAAATTTTGTTATGAAAAACAGTATTGCTAATGCTTTGAAAAACAGTATTGCTAATGCTGTGAGAGTCTTTAAAATTTTATAGCTGACTGAAATAGTTTTTCTAAGAAGTATCTACATGTATAAATAGGATCTATACATATATCTGTATAAAACATGGACCTACATATATGATATGCATGTTCAGATACATACACACATAATTATCCTTATACAAATACTGTATTTCACTGTGATGGTTTTTTTAATACAGTGCTGCTTTTGTCTTAGAGTACATGAGTTTTACTAGTCACATTGTATTATCCAGGTGCACTTGAATGTGGTGGTCATGGCTCAAGTATTTGTGAACTTGGGTCACAGTTCTTTATGCAGAGTATGGGGTTTATGAAGTGCTTTGGAATTGAAACAAAAGTTAACTCTGTATTTGGAAAAGTCTTAGCATTGATGAGTGATGATGCATTTGCATCATCACTATTGGACTAATGATTAGAATTCCTAATTATTTGGGGGGGAGAACACCAGCAAGTTGTGAAAAGGTTGCATACTTCTCACAACAAACAATGCAATTGAAGAGGGGAGAAATTCCCTTTTTGAAAGATTTCAAAACAGCAACTCATGTGGGCTGATTCACGCACCAAGATGTACTGTATTTAAGGGTCATTGTTTACCTGTCACCATTTTTTTCATCGCATATGGGTAATCGAGTTGTGTCTTACTATTGGTGAGGTCTTAGATTTGATGAAAGATATTTTTGTTTTTTTTATTTTATAACAGCTTATTTTTTTTTTATTAAAAAGTTTATTTTTACATCATTTTT